CATTTCAGGTATACCAACCTACTTCCTTGCACTACTTACTGCTTCTTACCTCAAGATCTTTGCATAAATCACTCCACCTCTTTGACTAGTTAATTCCCTCAAATCCTCTAAAGTCAGATTTGGTAAAACCATCATAAGAATCTTTCCTCAAAGCTGGGTGCATTCAGGCTTTAATAGTCTGCCACCTGTTTGCTCCTATAGTAGCATTTATGTCCCATTATTGAAATTTCCCCACCAACCTAAAACATTCTTAGGGCTTAGAATGCATCTTATTGTTATATCCCTAGTGCTGAACATATAGCATATACTTAATATTTATAATTAAGGGAAAAACAACAAACAAAAATCTATCTTATCTTGTACATCAGCCACATCTATTATGGTTTCGCTGGAAATACACCCTCTAATACACACACGCACATTCACAAACATATTCAATAATAGTATAACAGAATACTATTACGGAATATAATAGTATAATGGAATACTACGATATTTTATCACCGTCGAGTCGATTCTGACTCATAGCAACCCTGTAGGACACAGTTGAACTGCCTCATAGGGTTTCCAAGTCTATAAATCATTGTGGAGGCAGACAGCCACATCTTTCTCCCTTGGAGTGGCTGGTGGGTAGGTTTGAACTGTTTCAACCTACCCATCTTTCAGTTAGCAGCTGGCTGCTTAACCACTGTGCCACCAGGGCTCACAATATATAATAGTATACCAGCCCTATTTTCTCAAAGAGTCGTATATGGTAGAACAACCTAACTGGGGAAAGATCACCTACTTAGGGATTAGCAAAACAAAACATAAGCTCTTCAAGTAGAAAACTACCAATTTTGTGAAACAAATTCAAAAGCCGAACAATAAGCATTTAATTAGTGTATTTAGTGACTCCCAGTAACACAGGGCAAGCAAATAAATAAATAAATAATGGTATGACAGAACTGCCAAAAACCAAACATAATTTTGGCCTGAATTAACAGTCTAATTCCTAGGCTGAGAAAGATGATTGTCCTCTTCTCTACAGTAGTTGACCAGATTAACAATAATATATTCAGTTTGACGACTTAGACAAACTAGAGTATCTTCAGAGAAGAGACACCAGGATGGTGAAAGGACTTTTAAAACTATGTGACATGAGAGAGGGAATATTTAGCCTGAAAAAGTTTAGTGCTGTTATCCTGTCATAATATGGTAGTAAATTTATGATTAAAGTCTTAAAAGTATAGTAACAAACATCACCTTATGCTTAGATTAGGGTAATGAGTAGTTTCTATCATTTAAAGTTTTTACTTTATTACTACAGTGCATCCTTCATTGTATCTCTTTATTGTGCTTAAACTATTCCATGACTATTTCTTACCATTAGAAATTAATTATCTTTAGTCAGGTTTTCAAATCATTCATGCACTCATATATTCATTTATTCATTATACCTTTATGTAGTTCCCATGCTCACAGAGCTTACGGTCTACTGAATAAGAGAGATAAGTAATCAGGTAATTCCAAAAAATGTAGTAAGTGCAACGGTAAGGCAAATACACAATAGCAAAGATGCATATAGACGGAATGCTGAGTAGGGGTTCAGAAGGAAGCAGCAGTCAAGAAAAACTTTCTAGAAGAGATATCTCAGTGAAGATCTAAAGACCGATTGTTGTTGTGTGCCATCGAGTCAATTCTGACTTACAGCGATCCCATTTGACAGAGTAGAACTGTCCCATAGCATTTCCCAAGGTTTAATCTTTACAGGAGCAGATTGCCAGGTCTTTTCTCCCAAAGAGCATCTGGTAGGCTCAAAGTGCCAACCTTTCAGTTAGCAGCCAAGCGCTTAACCATCATTCCACCAAGGCTCCTTAAAGGATGATTCCAAAAACCAAACCCACTGCTGTCAAGTCAATTCCAACTCATAGCAGCCCAATAGGACAGAGTAGAAGAGCTCCACAGGGTTTCCAAGGCTATAAATCTTTATGTAAGCAGACTGCCACACCTTTCTCCCATGGAATGGCTGGTGGGTTCAAACCACTGACCTTTTGGTTGGCAGCTAAATGCTTTTACCACTGAGCCAACAGGACTCCTTAAAGGATGCCTCCAAAAACCAAAGTTGTTGCTGCTGAGTCGATTCTGACTCATAGCAACCCTACAGGACAGTGTAGAACTACCCCATAGGGTTTCCAAGGAGCAGCTGGTAGATTCAGAAACTGCTGACCTTCTGGTTAGCAGCGAGCTCTTCACCACCACGCCATCAGGGCTCCAAAGAATGATCAGGAGTTAGTAAAAGAGAGGATAAAAAGCGAAGTCTTAGCAAGAAGAGAGAGAATGGTATTTTGATGAAATTGAAAGTTCAGGGTGATAGACACAAAACATAAGGAAGGATGGTGTCGTGGATTGAATCATGTCCCCCCCAAAATGTGTATATCAATTTGGCTGGGCCATGATTCCCCGTATTGTGTGCTTTTCCTACATGTTGTAAATCCTGCCTCTATGATGTCAATGAGGGAGGAAGGGCTGCAGTTGTGTCAGTAAGGCAGGACTCAATCACAAGATTGGATTGTGTCCTGAGGCAATCTCTTGAGTTATAAAAGAGAGAAGTGAGCAAAGAGACAGGGGGACCTCAAACCACCAAGAAAGCAGTGCCAGGAGCAGAGCGTGTCCTTTGGACCCGAGGTTCCTGCACAGAGAAGCTCCTAGTCTGGGGTAAGATTGATGAGAAGGTACAGAGAGAGAGAGAAAGCTTTCCCCTGGAGCTGATGCCCTAAATTGGGATTTTAGCCTACTTTACTGTGAGGAAATAAACTTCTCTTTGTTAAAGCCATCCACTTGTGGTATTTCTGTTAAAGCAGCACTAGATGACTAGGACAGAATTTGGTACCAGGAGTGGGGTGCCCCCGGGCACTTATCAGTGGAGCTAGGCTTGCCAACCCATGGAGCAAGAGAGTTGAGCACATTCAGGGCCAATGTTTACTGGTGGAGTGGGGTGCCCCCAGGCACTTATTGACAGAGCTAACGAGCTTTGTAACACTTGCCTGAGCTGGACAGAGGCCAGGACGAGGGGCTGAGGGACAAGAGGCCAATGACCAGGGAGAGGCCCACTCGTGGGCATGACTGAGAAGAGGCTGTCCTGATTAAAGAAGTGTATCCTGAAGCATTCCTGATCCTGAACTGTAACATGTTATTTCCTTCATAAACTCTATAACTGTGAGCATGGTCTGTGAGTTCTGTGTGACCATTACAATAATTATTGAACCCAGCAGAGAAGTAGAGAGTGTGGTGGGAGGGATGGCTGATGTCAGAATTGATAAAAAGGTTTGAGAGAGGACGTATGCCTGACCTCCACCTCACTGGAATCTGCCTTGGGCTAATGCTGAGGGTGATTCTCTCTCTTCCTGCTCCTGAAGTTAGAGAAGGTGAGACATCCCATGCCACCGTTTTTACAATCGTATAATATAAATATAGTATAAGCTAACAATGTGCTGTGGCTATGATAGCATAGTAGGAACATTTTCATTGAGTGCTTGTTATGTATGTGTTGAAAATTATTTCATACTTTATTGCATTTTGTCATCATGACAACCATATAAAATGTCAATAATATTATCATCCCTATTTTATGTATGAGAATACTTAGAACGATTAAGTAACTAATCCAGGTTCACAATGAAAAAACAAAAAGCTAACGAATTCTTAGCCATAATAATAGATTTGTTTAGATTAACACTTTTTATATAGTTCTAACATGCTGAGCAGAGGTGATACTAAATTTGGAATACTATATATTGTATTAGTTCCGGGCACAGTTAAAGGGACAATGTCAGGCTAAAAAGTACATCAAGAGGAGTACAACCAGGAGAGTGAGAAGTGTGAAAACCACCAGTTTAAGAAACCATGTCTACTTATTTTGGAGAAGATTTAAGATGTTAAAATAGTCATTTTCAAATATTTAAATGTGTAATGTGAAAGAGTAGATAGATTTCTTCTGTATCGTATCAAAGGCAAAACCGGGAATAACAGAACTGTTATAGGAATATGGATTAAACATCAATATAAAGAATTTTCTAATAAATTATAGCTTTTTCATCAACAATGTATTGCTTTTTAAACCAGAAAGTCTGTATTCAAATACTGTTTGATATCTGCCAAGGATTATGCAATATTGATTTGTTGCCAGATGTGAGGTTTAATTATGTGACTACCAAGACTTACTTCAACTTGAAGAATCTATGATCTATACTAAAAAAAAAAAAAATAAGGTAAACAGGATTATGCATGTATATTTAAATATGAAGTCTTGACACTTTAAAAATGAATAAAAAGGCAGCAACAAACTCACACCTATCAATAATTATACTGAATGTAAACGGCCTAAATGTACCTATAAAGAGACGGAGAGTGACAGAATGGATCAAAAAACCATCAACATGTTGTCTAAAAGAGACACACCTTAGAAACAGCAATGTAAATTTATTAAAAATCCGCGGATGGAAAAAATATCAATCAAAGAGCTACCAAAAAAGAGCAGGAGTGGCAATACTAATCTCAGATAAAAAAATGAATAAAAATATGATTTATCAATTTGTTATATTTCTTTCAATAAGAAAACAATAATGATAAAGTGTGATTATACAATGAGTTACGAGTACAACAACTTTTCAAATTAATCACTCTAATAATTCCATTCTAAATACTCAAGTTCTCCAGAAAAAATCTATTGGCATTCATTTCAGTCTTTTCTTTTTTCAAATGGAACACAATGCACTGTCAACAATTTTTAAATTATATGAGCTAGATTTCCTGAGATGTTAGCCTAACTTATTTAAAGTTTAAATCAATATTTGAACTTAAATTAGAATTTAAGGCAATTACCTTCTAATTTATCTAAATAGCTTCTGTAGACAGTTAATAGTTTAAAATATTCAATTTCAGAACGCGCAAACCCGTAAAATCATTATGCACAACAAAAATCTGTGATCAGATGAACAGGGCAGACATTCTCTACTAACCGATCAGAAGAACTGTTCCAACAGCTAAGCCTCCACCTGCAAATGAAACAAAACACAAAGAAAATTAATCTAACTTTTCACATTACCTTCAGCATAAAAGTTAGGCTTTATCAAGGACAGATTCTGCAATAACTTTAAAACTGCAGTTGAGAACAACATTTTAATTACCTTTGCAATACTTTGTTCAAGGTGCTATTATAAAATAATTACATATTATATGTAATTACACACTACACATTGCAATTATTTTCATAATATACTGTACTATCCTCTTTTCCCTGTGATAGGACCATGCCACATTCAACGTAACTGCGGCTAAGATTCAATAATGTTATATTTAGCACTTGTTAATAAATTAACTCAATAGCCAAGACCTAAATGTGCACAGTAACTTAACTACCACAGAAGTACAACAGAGAAAAGAAAGTTTATTATGATAGAAATTCCACTTTAATATTTATCCACAAATTTAATAAGCCTATTAAATAATTAAAAGCTAATAATTAAAGCTAATTCTCTTTTCATTATGAACAATATACACAAAGTCTGAACACTCTAAATATGCATTTCTAAATATATTTGGAATTTTAAATGAACAATAGTTCCATCATTTCAAAGGAAAATGACTTTTTAAATCCCTTACTTTCAATGTTATTACAACATGTGCTTTTAAATATGACTTAGGCTACATGAGTCAGAACTGACTTAATGGCAATAGGTATTAATAAAGTGATAAATTTTTACTCAAATAGTGAATTGTTAACTATGCTTTAATTTAAAAGCAAGCGTTAAGAAATTAGAACCACACTAAAAAGATGAGTCAATTGACTAATGATATTTTCTTTGTTCATAACCCCATTTATAAAGCATTGTTATTTACAATTAAGATCGATAACACTAACAAGTATTTAAAAATAAAAAAAAGTATACCGAAGAATGAATAGAAATGTATTTAAATTGTAACTAATTAGGAGGCAGAGCCAACATGGCACTATAGACAGAAGCATCACACCGTCCCTCCACAGCAAAGACGTGAAAAACTAAGTAAAACAGACAAATGTCAATCCTGGAACCCTAAGCATAAACAAAGAGATAAAGAACTTAACTAAGCACCAAATGGAATAAAAAACTGACAGAGAACAGAAAGCGAAGAGAGTTACAAGCAGAGGTCCCTTATTGGCTAATGCAGCATGGATCCACCATCTTGGACTGCTGTTGGAGATCAGCGGACTGGGAGTATGGGAGAGCAGATTCACAGACCTCCCAGCAGGAGACATAGCACCTGGTAACCAGTGACACATGCTTTCCCACTGCCCACTCTCCCTCCACCTGCTTGGCCTTTATGGCAGGCCGATTTGCGGCATTCCAGCGGGCTGATCTGCAGCTTCTTGATGGGCCAATTTGCTGCTTCCCAGCAGGCTGATCTGCCACTTCCCAGCAGGCTGCGACTGCAGCACAGAGATGCCAGTTCCGTCCACTCAGATTCGCCCTGCCCACACTGCCCAGCTTCTTCTTTGCCATTTCTTTGTTGCTGGTGTTGCTTTCTTCGGCCTCTTTTGGTTTCTTCCCTGCCTCTCACCTCCCCTCCTTTCTCTCAAACACCCAACTCCATGCACCAGCTCTGCTTCTTCTTGAAAGGCTGTGAAGTGACACTAGGCTGGGGAAATATTTCCCTGGTCCGTGCCCCACGCTGGTGCAATCCCTGGGTGGTGTTTTTTTCTTTTTTGCTTGTTTTCTTGTTCTTTTTTCTTTGCTATTTTTCTTCATTTCTCAGTTTCTCATCTTTTTCTACTTACCTTCTTTTCCTGTCTCCTGAATAACTGGTGCTGTGTATCATCTCCAACCCTTCCAGCCAGGCTGTACTTCATGGCTTCGGAGCCACTTCCTGGTCTGTATAGCCATGCTAGTGGGATCCTGGGGGCTTTTTTTTTTTTAATTTTAATTTTTCTTTTCTTTTTCTTCCTGTTTTTCCTCATTTCTTGGTTTTTCATCTCTCCACTCCAACGACAGCCTCAGTATTATTTTTTTTGCCTCTTTTTTCTCTCCCCTCTCTCTTCTTTCCCATATCCCACCTAGCTCCACACATCACAACCTCCTCCTCCTCCCTCTCCTTCCTGCCTATCTTCACTGTGTGCTGAACACGGCACTCCCAAACACAGGCACAGCCTAATGGAATTTGCTGTGCACTGACACCAGCTCACATTTTCGGAACCAGTATATGCCACAAACAACCTATCCCAGCCCCTCCCCTTCAGCAGGACCTGCCCTGCTGTACTATAGCTGAGCAACTGGCCCTACCCATTGGAAAAGGAGGTTAAAAATATCGTGTCCACAGACGAGTAAACAAAGAACACAGAGCCCGCCTGCTCAGATATAACCAAATAAAACAAAAAAGCAGGACAAAAACAAACAAATCTGTAACTGATAAACAAAGAAAATAACTATTGACTGTCCCAAAGACAGCAGACAATATCAAAATATATTAAAGAAATGACAGGATGGTTCCAGTAGGCATCCAAAATAAAATACCAGATGACTTTCCAGTAGGAAAAAAGGCAATAGAACTACCTGATAAGGAATTCAAATCTCTAATATTCAGAGCTATACAAGAGTTGAAGGAAAAAGCAGACAAAAATGAGGAAAAAAATAGACAAATTCATGGAAAAGGCAGACAAATTCATGGAAAATGCAGACAAAAAAATGGAAGAATTCAGGAAAATAATACAGGAACAAAATGCCAAAATGAATTCACAACTAGAAATGATACAAAAACAACAATTAGAAATCCAAAAGATAAACAACAAGATCTCAGAAATAGACAATGTAATGAAAGGCTGTGGAGCAGTTTTGAATCAATGGAAGACAAGATCAGCAAAATTTAAGACAAACACTTGGATACAACATTGAGGAAAAAAATCAGAAAAAAGAATGAAGAAAAATGAAGAAACCCTGAGAATTATGTGGGATACAATCAAAGGCTAAAATTGCGAGTGATCAGAGTTCCAGAACAAGGGGAAGAAAGGGAAAACACAGAGAGGATCACTGAAGAATTGCTAACAGAAATCTTCCCTAATATCATGAAATATGAAAAGCTGACCATCCAAGAAGCTCAATGAATGCCATATAGGATAGCCCCCAAAAGAAAAGCACCAAGACATATCGTAATCACACTCACTAAAACCAAAGACAAAGAAAGAATCCTGAGAGCAGCTTGAAAAAATGAAATATCACATAAAGAGGGGAAACAGTAAGACTAAGCTCTGATTACTTGGCAGAAACTATGCAGGCAATAAAGAAATAGGATGACATATATAAAACCTTGAAAGAAAAAAATTGCCAACCAAGAGTAATATATCCTGCAAAACTCTCGTTCAAATATAAAGGTGAAATTACTACATTTCAAAAAAAACAGAAATTAAGGGAATATGTAAAAACCAAACAAAACTTACAAGAATTATTAAAGGCAGTCCTTTGGTTTGAGAACAATATCAGACAACAGCCGGAATCTAGGATGTAAGATCTCACCAGCCAGATACCAATCTAGGAAATAAACTCTCAAGGACTATTCAAAACCCATAGATTTACAACAGATAACCAGAGAGGTTATTTGGTAAATGATAACAACATTAGAAAAACAAAAGAGGAAATAAATGGTGTAGGTATACAACTCATAATGGAGAGGAAGGCAAGGCAATACCAAGTAATAATAGACTGGTTGAAGCCTAGGAAGATACTGGTAAATTTCAATGTAACCACAAAGAAAGTTAACAAACTTGCTCATCAAAATAAAGAAAAAAAACATAAAGTCTCAGTAAAAACAAAATCTACAAAAAAAAAAAAGAAAAAAAAATCCACAAACAAAAATTCAGCACAAGAGAGTAAGAGAAACAAAGATGTCAGCACCACAGAAAAAAAGCACTACAAAATGACAACAATAAACTCACACCTATCAATACCTACACTGAATGTAAATGGGCTTAATGCATCCATAAAGAGACGGACAGTGACAGAATGGATAAAAAGACAGGATCCATCAATATGCTATCTACAAGAGACACATCTTAGAAACAAAGGCGTAAAGTTATTAAAAATCAAAGGATGGAAAAAAATATATCAAGCAATCAGCAACCAAAAAAGAGTGGGAGTGGCAATACTAATCTCAGATAAAATAGACTTTAAAACAAAATCCACCATAAGAGACAAAGAAGGGCGTTATATCATGATTAAAAGGATGATCCATCATGAAGACATAACCATAATAAATATCTATGCACCCAATGACAGGGCTGCAAAATAAATAAAACAAACTTTAACAGCACGGAAAAGAGAAACTGACAGTTCTACTATAATGGTAGGAGACTTCAATGCATCACCCTCGGTAAAGAACAGAACATCTAGAAACAAACTCAACAAAGATACAGAATATCTAAAGGCAACAATCACCAAACTTGAACTCATAGACATATAGAACAATCCATCCAACAGCTGCAAAGTACACGTTCTTTTCCAACGCATATGGAACGTTCTCCAGAATAGACCACATCTTAGGTCACAAAGCAACCCTCAACAAAATCCAAACCACTGATATAATACAAAGTAACTTCTCTAATCACACCTCCATCAAAGTAGAAATTAACAATAGGAAGAGCAAGAAAAAAAAATCACTTACATGGAAATTAAATAACACTCTGCTTAAAAAATATGGAGTGATAGAAGAAACCAAAGATGGAATCAAAAAATTTCTAGAATCAAATGAGAATGAAAACACATCATACAAAAACCTTTGGGACACAGCAAAGGCAATACTCAGGTCAATTTATAGCAATAGATGCACAGATCAAAAATGAAGAAAGGGACAGTATCAAAACATTAGCTATAAAACTCGATCAAATAGAAAGAGAACAGGAAAAGAATCCTACAGGTACCAGAAGAAATTAAATAATAAAGATCAGAGCAGAAATAAATGAAATGGAAAAAAAAAAAGAATCAACAACACCAAAACTTGGTTCTTTGAAAGGATCAATAAACCAGTAGTC